GCGACGAGGAGGATGACGAAAGCGATTCTGAAAGCCATCGGGAAAAGGTCGTTGCAATCGGAGCTCCGTTAGGGCATGGGAAGACGATGGCTCTGGATCTACCTCGGCGCGGGTGCCGCGTCGGCCATGATTCAATGGTTTGGGGAAGAATGAAAGGAAACAAAAACTGAGTGCGGTTGCGGCCTGCAAAACTGAATCAAAATGCGCCCTCTCACGTAATTTACACGGTCAGTGTTTCTCCCTTTGCTTGTACGTAATTTAATAAAACTTTGTTGTGGAAATTATAATTTTTAAAATTATAGGGACTAATTTGTAATTGTCTTTAATTTAACCAAAATAAGATTTTATTTTATTTTTTTTTAATTTTCGAAAGCTTATCAAACGGGCCAGAAATGAAAACAAACGACTTTTGGGCCCAAAAGATCTTTGTGTTTTTTTTTTTTTTTTTGTCAACTTTTATAAATTAAAAATTGACTGAATTTCTGTGAAATTATTACCAAATAGATCATTTTAATATTCCATTTGTAGATTAAATATTAAGTTTCCTTCCAAAATTATATCTATTTAATTTGTTTGTGTGTCTGTTTTTCAAAATAATTTAATAATTTAAAAAAAAAATTATTAGAAACTTTTAAAATATAAGACACGATTAAAATATTCTATCGTACATCCATCTCGAAGTTTTTGTAGTATGATTAAAACGTCTTATTTAAAAAAAATTAATTTTTGGTGGTAAAACGTCTATGTTGACTTTATGCACTAAATGTAATAAAATTTCCACAACAACTTCCCACTAATAAAGATTATGATTTTTAATTCACTCCACATAAAAAGTAAAAGTAAATGAATAATTTTCAATTTCATAAAAATTTAAACAACCATCAGATGAAAAGTTGATTGTTTGAAAGTCAAACTTAATCTAAATGACCGTCTAAGTCAATGCCACATCATTCTAGATCATAGCCGTGTCAATTTTTCGTTCAATATTCCAACGAATTTCTACTTCAAAATATATAATTTTTAAATAAAGAAAAAATATATATATTATTTTTTAAAATCTATAAATTAAAATTCCCATTAAAAGTTGAAAAAAAAAGGAACAAAATCAATGGCTGAGATGTATTTCCACCAAACTCCAATGTTTTAAGTATGGTAATCAATTCTAATTATTGTGTGAGACATTCAATTAACCAATTATTTCACTTCAAATTATTAACCTAAATTATTTGGCTGGAAATTTAATGCTTTCAAATATTATATTTTAATATTTAGGATTAGAATTATCTGACCAGTAATCGAGTATCGAAAAGATATAAGTCAAGCACTACCTAACGTGCAAAAGAAGTGCATAAAGTAAGCTCAAAATGAATGTCCCAATATCGATATATCGATGAACATGACCGAACTCATAGCCAGTGAAACAAATGCAACCGAACGTATGAAAACACTCTATTTTATTTGATTTCAAACCACAAACATAACGGTCGTTCAATTGGGTCAATTTTGATTCCACTATCTATCATGTTCTTATATAGTAGTCACACTCGAATTTTGTATTAAATGGTCAACGAGTTTGATACCCAGCTAGGGGTCGAGATTATATAAATAATGAACATTATAGAACATGGGTAGCACATCCCAAAATTCCAAAATATAAACAAATGAAATGAGTTACAAATTAACTCCAGCAAAAGTTACTGCGCAATATCAAGAAATTACTGCAGCTGGTTGAGGATTGAAGTGGGTAAATCCTGGATGAATGGGGATTTTAAGGTAGCAAAGAATGTTGTGGTGTTGTTGAATCAAGAACAGAGTGCATTGAGAAGAATATGAGCTAACATGAGGTCTAAGAAATATTGGTGGCCGATTTGGCCGTCCCTCCATGTGAGCTTGGCCGGAGCTCGACCGTAATGTACTCCATCGTTGCAACGGTTGTCGAAATGCCAGGGGAAGGTCATGTCGAAGTTGTCGATGATGCCGTGGATGATCCCGGATTCCTTTAACTTCTCCAGCACGACCCAGTTGAATATTTCCATTTTGTTGGGATTGAATGCGAGTGTTCGAGCGTAGCCACCGGTTGCGACCGTGGTTCGGTAGAACACTTTCGGGACTGTTAATCCCCTCTGCATGATGGAATCCAGAAGTTGTTTCCAAAATGATGCAGCATAGGCTGCCCCAACCGAGAAAGCTCGGATATTCAACCAGTGAACACCGTCGTGGAGGCCCGAGTTCATGATGATCGTGTCGGGAACGGTTTGTTCGGAGAAGTACTTGTACAGGAGATTTCTGAATCCCTCATTTCTCAATGAATTCAAACCTTCATAGTTTTGTGTATCATTCCAATGGCCATTGAAGATGCTGGTAATGCGAACCGTTTGAGACGGGTTTTTCGGGTTCGAAAAATTCCTATCGAATCGCCTCGGAACTGCAGGGATTTCAGGCAAATCCAACACGAAATTCAGAAGGTTCCTTATCGTATCGACATGATTCGAATCACCCCAAAAGAAGATCCATCTACCCTTCAAGCAATCCCAAGCAGAATCACTAGTAAACATCTGAAATGAACAATGTGCTGAATAAACCCAACCATTGCTCTCCAACAACCCCAATGACCCATTGCACCAAGGCCTCCGGCAAGGATACTCCGGTGGAAAACACCGGTACCGACCGTCATCACTGATCTCGCAACCCTCATTTCGACCGTGTCGAGTCCACCGTCCCGTCCAAATCTCTTTACCAAAATCCCACCTTCCACAACTCTTAATCTCCGGCAACCCCACCGAAGTCCTAACAAATCGAACCTTGATTCTCCGAAGCTCTCGATCATACGCGAATCGGGTCGGGGAAAACCTCAGCCCCTCGAAACTTCGGAACAGAAGAATCACAGTCAGTTCATAATCACCGGCGAAATCAGGGTGCACCTGAACCCAAAACAAGTAAGTCCCATTCCCCAAATCTCTAACAAACGGCCGAGACTTCCACCACTCGCCGGAAAGATCAGTTTCAAAATAGTCTCCACCTAGACAACGAGGGTTTCCAGATTCATCAACAGCTTGAAACCGAAACTCATGAACATCCCCTGTTGAAAGCTCCACCACTCCCGAACCTTCCATGCCGGAAATAGCAATATCCGCCGTCCGGGAGTCTCTGCAGGGTTCGCCGCCGGGAGTCTTCCATAAAGCCAGAAGATTGGAGGTATAATTAGGCTCGAGTTCAGCTGAAAACCAATCAGAAAAAGACGCGTAGGGAACCGCCGGTTCATTCTCAATCCGGCGAGGTTCGCCGGTGGAATTATGCGGCGAAACCGGTTCAAACAACGCAGATTCCGGGTAATTTTCGGGTTTGTAAGAGACGAATTGGGTGAAATTGGAATCCTTAGTGGATAAATTAAAATGGGTATTGGTGAAATTGGAAGAAACAGAGACGAAATCTTGAGGGGAGCTCCAAAATTTGATGAAGGTATTAACGTTGAAGCCGTCGATACTCCAAACGGCCAACATACTGAGAAGAACCAACCCTGTGAGTACCCAAAAACGGGAATGTACCAACGAAGACGACACGAAAAGCCATGGCTGCGACGTCGCTCGAAGCAGGCCCTTCTCCGGCATCTGAAAACTGCCGCAGATTCAACGAATCCACAATCCAGAAGAACAAAAAAGAAACCCAAAAAACCCTTTGTTTCCTTCGCCGGAGAGAAATGCAGGCGATAAAGTTCTGATCTTTTCCGAACGCTAAAGATTCCCCTTTCTCGATTAAACAAAACCCAACAAAACCGAAGAGAAAAAGCAGGAAAAAAGTGAAAAAAGAACAGATTTTACTTACTGGGTTGGTCGGAAAAACCAGAAATCTGTCTGGGTTTTGAAGATTGTTGTGTTTGAGCAACGAAGATTTGAAGAAACGGAGATGCTTCTTCAATTTCTTCTTCTTCTTCGTTGGTCTTCTGTTTTGCTGTTTCTCTCTCTACAAATAACAAAATTTGGGGTAGAAATTAGGGGGAATTATTGATCGATTGAAATAAAAATGTTTTTTTTTTTTTTTTTGTATTCCTCTTCTGTCGGATAAAAACAGCGATAATTATGGAGCTGGAGACCATTGTCGATGTCCCAAAGGGAAAGGCGAGGGCGGAGCTTGAGCGGAAGACAACTTTATGAATGGACGGTTTTACCCTTCTTGTGAGATTCATGAAAATTACCGTTTTGTCAAGCAACGCGGAGCACCGACAATGTCGACGTTCTTTCCTGTCAGCCAGGATTGGAGTTGAGCTCAGTAGGGGCTTTTTCGTCATTTCATTGTTTTGCATTATGAGGATTCCTGGATTCTAGCTGTGGCACGTGCTTCCCACGCGACATGTTTCTTGTCGGGTTCCGGACTCCATGAGGAACCATTTTATATGTACCCGACCCGCTGCGGATTATTTAGTAAAAATGTAAATCGGTCAATTTTAGTAAGTAAAATTACATAAAGTAATTAACAATAATTTTATTAAAATTTTCCTAAATTTTCAAATACAAAATCTTATAAATTTTTTATTTTAAAAATTATAAAAACTAATTTTAACTCTTTTTTTTTCAAAATTCTTAAAATGTAACATAAAATTATTAATGAGAAATTAAACTAACTATGAGATCTCATATTGGTTGGAGAGGGAAGTGAAAGTATTCCTTATAAAGATACAAAAATCTCCCCTAACGGACACGTTTTAAATCCTTGAGGGAAAGTCTAGAAGTAAAGTCTAGAAGTAACGGACACGTTTTATATCTGGACTTAGACGGTTACAAAATGGTATCAGAGCAAGAGATTGAGTAGTGTGTCAGCGAGGATGTTAGCCCCCAAGGAGGGTGGATTGTACGATCCCACATTGGCTAGAGAGGGAACGAAACATTCCTTACAAAAATATGGAAACTTTGAAGAGAAGCTCGGAAGGAAAGCCCAAAAAAGATGATATGTGTTAGTGATGGACTTGAACGGTTACATTAACTATGTCATCTCGATGTTGGGGATTAATCAAAATCAATGCTAACTCTTGTAAATAATTACCACGAAGTTATGGAGAACACAAGAAGAATTCCAATTGAAGGAAATCTAATGAACAAACAATCATACCCTTTCTGTCTCTTTGTCTGCAAATAACAATGAAAGCTACCACAGATAACACAGTCTAGACAAGAGATCTGATACCCATTTAAATAACCCTTCCTCACAATCTGATATGATCAAATGAAATGAATGAAGAGAAGAAGGGAGCACGCAGCAGAAGAATGAACAGTACTAATGCCATGGATCATCCCACCCCTTAGGACCCTCCCTTTTCACGAAGTCAATTATGGCATCAACTGCTTCATTAACTCTGTTTGACAGAGAATGATTCCCATGTTGAATCTCAACTTTCTCTGCACCTCCCATTGCTTTGCACAATCTGCATTACCTCATAACAAAAACAATATCGTTAGGTGTCAAGCACCATGATCGATCGATCGCTCGCTCGCTCTCTCCCGCTCGGTTGTGGCTACTACTCTCTAAATCATTGAATGTATAGTGAAACAGAGGTGAGTAACACCAGCCCCATCAAGAATGTTAATTGTTTGAGGCAGGTGGACTATGGGATAGCAATTGAGTAACAAGAGTTATTGAGTTTACCTATCAACCAATGCCTCCTTATCCACGTATTCCGGCACATATTCGTCACCCATGGAATAGATAACCTGCAAGCAATGTGAGAGGTTTGTTAGTGAGAGGTTTCCACACCCTTATAAGGAATGTTTCGTTTTCTTCTCCAACCGATGTGGGACCTCCAATCTCCCCCCAGGGGTCCAGCGTCCTCGCTGGCACACCGCTTAGTGTCTGGCTCTGATACTATTTGTAACAGCTCAAGCCTATTACTAACAGATATTGTCTACTTTGGTCTGTTACGTATCGCTGTCAGCCTCACAGTTTTAAAACGCGTCTGTTAGGGGAGAGGTTTCCACACTCTTAATAAGGAATGTTTCATTCTCCTCTCCAACTGATGTGGGATCTCACAATCCACCTCCATAGGGATTAGCGTCCTCGCTCGCACACCGCTTAATGTCTGGCTCTGACCATTTGCAATAGTCCAAGTCCACCGCTAGTAGATATTGTCTGGCTTGGCCCGTTACGTATCGGCGTCAGCCTCACGGTTTTAAAACACGTTGGTTAAGGAAATGTTTTCACACTCTTATAAGGAATGTTTCGTTCTCCTCTACAACCAATGTGGGATCTCACATGGCTTGAGCTTTTATATTCTTCGGTCCGAAAGAGAAGCAGTAGCTTTCATCGATCCAAAAATTAAACTTATTTTTATTCAAGTCTTTTAAGTAAGGTTTAAGAAGCATTGCTCCATTCAGATAAACCAGAAAGAGAGAAGTGTGCATGCAGACCTGACACGGTGTGTTAGCCATGTGCCCAAGTCTCATTCTCAACTGGTCATCGCTAAGGTCGGAGCTGAACATGTCATCATCCCCCATGTATGAGCAAAGCGAATAATACCTGCAAATAGCTAATCGTAGCATTAAAAACTGCAATCTCGAGAAAAATTAATTAAACGTACCAAAAATCATCCACACTGTAACAGTCCAAGCCCACCACTAGTAGATATTGTTCTCTTTGGACTTTACCTCCTGGGCTTCCCCGCAAGGTTTTAAAATGTGTCTGCTAGGGAGAAGTTTCCACACCCTTATAAGGAATGTTTCGTTCCCCTCTCCAAATGATGTGGGACCTTACAATCCACCCTCCTTGGAGGCCCAACGTCCTCACTGGCACATCGCCTAGTGACTAGCTCTAATACCATTTGGAACAGCCCGAGCCCACTGCTAACAAATATTGTCCTCTTTGAGCTTTCCCTTTCGGGCCTCCCCGCTTGGTTTTAAAATACACGCTAGGGAGAGGTTTCCACACCCTTATAAGGAATGTTTCGTTCTCTTCTCCGACCGATGTGGGATCTCACACACGTTTAAAGAAATAAAGAAATAAAGAAGGATACTACAGACACAGCCAAATCAAAAGATATTTACATGATTTCCCACTGGTTTTCAAATTGTGAATCCTCTGTTCGGTAAGATAGTAACATGTTCAACTTTCATGCTTTCAAGATTACCAACGAATAAAGATGATGTGCTCTTATACTCACCGAGTGGCGGTTATCGGAGACGGGTCTGCCTCCCTTGGCATAAGATCTAATCCTCTGCCTTCGTTTATCATAGTCGAAGCCAAGTCGATCATGGCTGCTGTTTCAGGAAGAGTTGCTCTATACTCTCGATCACTAACCGGAGCCTGACCAAACAAACAAGAATCATGATTATTAGTTAAAAACTACACATAAAATCATGTGCTCTAAAAGAAATTGACTACAAGTGTTCAAACGCCAAGAGGAAAATAACTTTTTTTCTTCATTTTGGAGAACCATGGCATCCAAGATAGCTTACAAGTTGCAAAAACCTTAGCTAATTCTACTAGACAATTACGTAACGCTACAACAAAGATGTAATGCGAGATTCATAACTCACCACCAGTACTGAGATGTGAATCTTCCAGTAATGAAACACTCAAGGATAAGTTATTACCTGCAAAATGGCACCACGAACTGCTCGAGAGCAAGCTGCATTTGTACGCATATAATAGACTATGTCCTGCAACAATGTCCAAAGAACATAGATGAAATTTCCAACTGTTGATCAAAGCTTCATAGTTCAAGAACATTCAGTAATTACCTGACAGCCAGTACTATGTCCAAGTAACACGACACCCTCGGAGTCTTCTTTATTGATCAGATAGCTTACTAGCTGATCAAGCTCCTTGGCATCCTAAATCAAATCAAAATCCTTTTGTTAAAACAGGATATTACTGTTTGCCAACTAAAAGATGGTATACTTCTTCGTTCAAGAAACCATGGTGATGTTACCAACCCAACTTACTTGTTGCAAGCTGGAGGTACCATATCCACTGTATGATGATGATAGAAGAATCTGAACAAGTGACCATTTTTCTTTATCCAAAGCAATTGCAAGAGGTTCCAAGTATCTACAAATCAAGAAGAAAATGTCAGGAACTGCAGAGTTTCGAACCATACAACAATGAAAATCGATTTCTCTAATTTCTTGAAAATCCACCAGTGAACACACATCAAGATCTTTGGTATGTATTTTGATGATAAGAACTGAAAGGAAATGGGGAACAGTCCCTGTCATTTTAATTTAGACCCACAAATCAAGCAAATGAAAGGTCCAATCAGGGAAAAACCCCTCGATGAAAACATACTCTGTTGCCATAAAGCCATCAGTCAATCCACCAATGAATATGACTTGCTGCTTGTAATCCCCCGTCTTAAATGCAACCTGAATAATAGAGGACACGATTAACCAGGCATCACGTGAGAAAGAAATATGTCATTACATGAATATAGAGTTTATTTTGGTCATGATATGTAACAGCCTAAACCCACCGCTAGCAGATATTATCCTCTTTGGGCTTTCCCTTTCAGGATTCCCGCGTTGAAGAGAGGTTTTCGCACCCTTATTATAAGGAATGCTATGGGATCTCATAATCCACCCCCCTCGGAGGCCAGTGTCCTCGCTGGCACACCATTCGGAACCTGGCTCTAAAACCATCTGTAACAGCCCAAGCCCACCACTAGCAGATACTATCCTCTTGAGCTTTCTCTTTCGGGCTTCCCCCTCAAAACGCGTCTGCTAGAGAGAGGTTTCCACGCCCTTATTATAAGGAATGTTTCATTCCTCACTCCAACCAACGTGGGATCTCACAATCCACCCTCTTTGGAGGCCTAGCATCCTCGCTAGCACACTATTCGGAGCCTGGCTCTGATACCATTTGTAACAGTCCAAGCCCACCACTAGCAGATATTGTCCTCTTCTAGATTTTCCTTCCAGACTTCCCTCAAGGTTTTAAAACGTGTATGCTACAGAGAGTTTACACACCCTTATTATAAGGAGTGTTTCATTCCTCTCTCCAACCATAGCAAAGGACCCCATACATCTGCAAAGCACATCTAACTATAACTCTTCGAAGCTTGTGATTTGTTGTAGTTAACATTCCTTAAACTCAGTGGGAGATTCTGAAGCAAATGGAACATAGAAACAGTCACTAATAAGGTATTACTTAAAAGTCCAAGAAGATGTTCCCTAATTCCTCCAAACAATTGCATTACATGAGGAATAACGAAGCTTAATCACAGGAAGTTTCTGAATAATCCTTTGAACTTCCTCTCAAATGGGTTTATTCTACTAAAGCAGCAAACACCAACAGGAATATTCAAGATTAAGATCCCTATGACAAACCAATCCTAAGTCAAATTAAACAGGTCCAAAGAACAGAAAATTCTCAATTAAAGATCCACGGACCTGAATTGGCTTGGGACCGTACTTGAAGAGCAACCCACGAAAATGATTCTTCCTCACAACAGGACCAGGGGGATCCCCAGCAACAAAGCCAGAGGCAGAGCTGCCAGACATTTTCACGCTCGAAGACCTATCGGGACGGCCGCGAACTATGCCGGAGAACCATGAAGTAGTGGAAGACGAAGAGGGGGAGGAAGAAGAAGAAGATGCAGAAGCGGAAGGAAGTGAAGAAGAAGAGGAAGATGAAAGTGAGAGATTCATATCCGATATCGCAGGCCCCAATCAAAATCATTGACGTTTAACAATTTTCAAGATTCTTTAATCAACACAGTAACTGCAGATAATGAAGGATCGAGAAGGGAAGGAGAATTAGAAGAGACAGAAGATGGGTTTGTTCGGATTGGGTCGGATCGCCATTAGAAGGGCAACGAGGAAGGCCTTTTCCTTCTGTTGCCAGACCCGCCCAACCCTGAAGAAGTTTAACCCAATGCATCACACGCGCTGTGAAAAGCGCGTAGCCGTTTCCCAAGGTATTGTGTCTTAATTTTTGTTGCTGTTTTTGTATTTAAACTAATTTTATACTTAATTAACAAAAATATCTATAAATTTTATATTTTATTTTAAAAATATTATTAATTTGGATTTAATAATCCTTTTCAACTTTTAAAAAAATATAAAAAATATAGTTAGTAATTATTTTTAAAAAATCTTTAAATTTTTAATTTTTTTTAAAAAAAATTATTAATACCCTTCCATTTTTTAATTTTTTTTAAAAATATCATTATCACATACAACTATATTTAAAAAATACTCATAAAATTTTAAAAGGAACAATAACATTTTTTTACTTTATAAAAAAAAAAAAAAAATTTTTACCGTTCATATGTGGATGAAAATTGTCCATCAACATCTCATAAATTATCTTCAGACTTTCAATTTTACTTTAGAAATTTAACAAATTTTTTAAAAACGTGGTACTAACGATCGAGAATAGTTTTGTTACTCACTCAATATTCAACCGCTCCACATATAAATTGATCAAACTTGAACGTTCAAGCATGCAATCCTAGATCAAAAGTTGTAAAGCGATGAGGCTCATAGTTCTCAACCGTAGAAACACTCCAAGTTCAAATTTAGCGTATCGTTACATGAATATAACTTAAGTTTTAAACCGTCAAGGAGATTATTTAATTTTAATTTCTACCGACTAAGCACACGTACATAAGGGTATTTTAGTCATTTCCCACGAGGAGACGATGCAGCCTCAAATTAGGGTTTCGATGTTTAACTATTTGGGCCAAGGCCCAGAACTTCTAAAGCCCATAACATGAAAATGGGCCAATGACTACGGATCATGGATGCTTTACATTGGGCCATCACTCGTTCATATATTTCAAGGGGGAAACCATTTTTTTAATAACATAAATAAAATATGAAATTGATTTATTAAAAAAAATGGTAATTTTATTAGAAAATCATTATTATTATTATATATAATAAATAAAAGTTAAGGGAAATTAATTTCTTAATTACAATAAAGTTAGGTGCACCACTAAATTTTAAAATTGAATGCATAATCAAGATTCCATTCTCGCATGGGAACCCTAATTTTAATATTTGACTATATTTTAATATATTGCCTTGGCTAATATTCTAATATTTGACGACAACTTTTTTTAAAAAAATTAATTAATTAATTAATCATTATATCCATGATTAAAGAAAATGTCTTTGAATTTTCTTCAGTTTGACATTATTCTCTTTTAATTTTATAGGTTATATTATTAATTCAATTTTAGATTATATTGGGATTTTTTTTTATTTTTTATGTCATGGGACTTTTTAGTCTCTATATTTTAAATATTCAAATTTTTTAATATAATTTAAAATAACTTTTATTAAAAAAAATAAATTCTGATAATGTAGTTGTATTGTATATGAAAAAATAACTATGAATACGGGTATTAATGGGTGTTCATATAAATCAAGAACGATCAACCTAGATTACCCGGACCATAAAAGTTGAAGTGGGTTAGGTTGAATTTTAAAAAATCAAAAATTCAGGTTGGTTCACGAGTTGACTTTTTTTTATTAGGTCAACCTGACCAACTAAAAAATAAGGTTTTAATTCAATCCAACCATACTTTCAAAATTATTGCGAAAATTAAGAATATTTGACTTTTGTAACAAATATTAGTATTAGATTGTCACCTCGGAATGTTTCATATTTGAGTTTTATGAAAATTTAATTATTAATGAAATAAATAAATAGATTTTTTTAAAATAGTTAAAAAAAAATAAAGGGACAACTCAACTCAACCCAACTCAAGATAGAGGGTTGGGTTGGGTTGTAAACTCTATTTAATTTAGATGGCTCGGATCACCAATCCAACCAACCCAATATTTCGAGTTGGTCTCAAAGATTTTTTCCAATCCAACCTAACATGTATACACCCCTAACTATCCTCCTATCTGATAGTTATTTGCAGTAAGCCATTATTGTTGCCTTTTGCTTACATTCCCATATAACACCAAATCTCTCTGCCTTCGTTCTCTAAAACTTTCTTCTTGAATCGGGGCCAGAGACTCGAGCTTACGTTGCTTGGTCGTAGGCGACGCAAGAATGAATAAGCTTAACTCACTTGCTGCTGAGAAGTGAGTACCATACAATTGCAAGTCTGTTGCCATCAAAGTGCGATTGTGACAAGTGGTAACTAAAATAGAACAAGTTCGAAAGCATAAGATTTTAACCTTTGAAACTAACATATTTGCAATTCATTGGGGTCCAGTGCCACCGAGACGTATACCTAGAGGAATGAGATTCAAATCTTATGAATTTCTTGATAACCATATCTAATAACGTCCAACAATTGCATGAATAAGATTAGTTGATATACGTGTAAAGTAGCCCAGTCTAATCACTCCAAACAGATAACTCTAAATTATAAAATTAAACAATTATCTTAATAAGATTACTCGATATACATCTAAATTAATCCATATCCAACTTCTTTATAAATTCTTTTAAAAATAATACAAATGTCCTTTGAATGAAAAAAAAGGTCACACGATTTATATACGTAGATAGGTCCCTCAATGTCATTTATTTATTATACTATAAAGTCAAGAGCATGCTATATTTTATTGCCCATAGTATAATATAAAGTTATATGTGCATTAAACTCATAATCATCATTACTCCTCGTTATGGTCGCTATTATCACCATTTAATTTCAAAACCATATATATATATATACTTTATTCCGACGTCTTACCTCCACCAATTTTCGTCTTCATTCTTCTTTGAATCACATCTTATTTGTAGCACCTTATGTCACGATCATGTTTGTTAGAGTATGTTGCTCGTGTCCTCATCACACATTTGCTCAACGAGTTGCAAAAGAGAGCAATTGTGATATCATATGCCCGAGATTCATATCAGAGTCGGACTCCAAAATTTGTCACTAGATAACTCCAATATTTTCATACATTCCTGTGATATGACCGTGTTTCATAGTTATCTATAAATTTTTCCACGTGTGAAGATTATCCTCAAATAATTTTTTAAAAATATCACCTAATATTAAATAAAACCCATATTTCATTAATATAATGGCCCTACTTCATATATAATGGAATCCCCCACTAACTCTAAAATTTGGTATTACATTAATATTAATACAATATTTCTCTCAAACCTATAGTTTTATTCCTTATATTTTTTTAATTTTCAATTAATTAAATTTTTAAATGTTACATTTTTGTCCTTCTACATTTTATTTTTATTTTTATTTGTTATTTTTTAAATATCGTACTTAATACCTAATATTGGGAATTATAAAATCCCAATATTTATAAATATAATACCTTAAGTGATACAAGATAATATTAAATAATTTATTTTCCTAATCATTACAAACTCGCACGTGCGGCAACTTCATTTTGAGACATGATTATTATTAAATTATTTAGATTTGTATAATTTGTGTTAAAAAAATACGTCGATATGTATTTATAATCGAAAAAAATATATATATTGGTTGATCAGACTGAAATTTTAAATCTAAATTTGACATAAATAACATCTCAAATCTACGACTAGCAGATATTGTCTTTTCTGAGCTTTTCTTCTAGAACTCATCCTCAAAATTTCAAAACGTGTATACTGTGGAGAGATATATAATAAAGCTAAGGTTTGAAAAAATACAGGTATATTATATTTTTAAAAATTAAATTAATATTAATAAAAAACTTTATATTTAAAATAAGAGTGATTAGTCACCTCAGGGTATCCTCTAGTTTAATAATTTTATACTAAGGTGTGTATTAATTAAATTAATAACCTAATGTCTCTTCACTAAATTCAGATTAATTAAAATAACCAAAAATTAGAGCATCCTAAACCACTATAAAAGAAAAAAATTCTTTTTGCCAACTGCTTTTAAAATTAAAAATAAAATAAAATAAATTAATTAAATTAAAAAAAAAAAAAAAAAAAAA